CTGTTGACAGAAATGACTTTGTTTTGGTCATTGATTTTAACTGTAAATGTCTTCGAAGATCTTGATACCACTGGAAATGGACCTTCGTATGGTGGAGATAATGCTCTTTTTACAAAATCTTTTCTTACAAAGACGTGTGAGCAGGTGTCTAAGTCTTTATGAGAAAAAATATTATTTTGCTTTGTTTGTCTTGTTGGTTGAGGTCGAATTCTACTCATATAATTCTTTAATTGAGTGGCAAAATTTGATGGATCGGGGTTTTTAAATTCTGAATTGGTTAGTAAATCAGCTGGAAGATTTAAAGTTGTCCCGAAAACCATTTCTGCAGCAGTGCATTTCAGGTCTTCTTTGTAGGATGTTCTGATGCCTAGCAGTACTAGAGGCAAAGCATCTATCCAATTAATAGTATTTCCGCTTGACATGATTGCAGCTTTAATTTGACGATGCAAGCGTTCGACGAGACCGTTTGCTGCAGGGTTGTATGCCGTTGTTCGTATTCTGTTGGTGCCAATGAGTGAAGTGAGATCCTTGAAAAGATGTGATTCAAATTCACGACCTTGGTCAGTAGTTATTGTTGCTGGAACTCCGTATCTAGAAATCCAACCGCGAAAAAAAGCTTTTGCTACGCTTATTGCAGTTTTGTCCGAAATCGGAAAGGCTTCAGGCCATTTTGAATATCTGTCTATAGCAGTCAAAATGTGGGTACAATTTTCAGAATGGGGTAAGGGGCCTATTAAATCAAGATGAACGTGTTCAAAGCGAGTTGATGGGAGAGGAAAAATTCCGTGTTTTGTAATTGTATGCCTGTGAATTTTGCTTTTCTGACAATCTAAACAGGACTTTGACCAATGATTTATTGTTTGATTCATTTTGGGCCAAAAGTATTTTTGAGTTATTAGTTTTCTTGTTGCACGAATTCCTGGATGAGACAAATTATGGAGAGAATTAAAAATTTGTCGTCGGAAATTTTCAGGCACGAAAGGTCTGGGATTTCCAGTAGAAATATCGCAGTAAATTAATTTATTGCAAAAAGGAACTTGTTGTTTTATTAATTTGATTGTTTGTGAAGAATTTGAATTATCACTGAGAGTTTTTAGTTCTTTGTCCTTTTCTTGAATATCAGGGAATGCATTAAGATCTAGATTAACCTTCGTGTGATTGAAAGTTTCGATTTCAATTCTTGAAAGAGTATCAGCCACAATGTTTTCACTTCCCTTAACATAGCGTATGTCCATGGAGAATTGTGAAAGATAGTTGAGATGACGTTCTTGACGAGGTGAACGTTCAGATTTTGATGTGAAGGCATACGTTAGAGGCTTGTGGTCTGTAAAAAGCATGAATGTTTTTCCATCAAGAAAGTATGAGAAATGCTTAACAGAGAGGAATGCAGCTAGGAGTTCCCGGTCGAATGCTGAGTATTTCGTTTCTGCTGGGGATAGCTTTTTTGAAAAAAATGAAATTGGTTCCCATGCAGTGTCATTCAGTTGTTGGAGGACACCACCAACAGCAACGTTGGAGGCATCAACCAGTACACTTAATGTAGAATTGGGTTGAGGGTAGTTTAAAAGTGTGTTTTCTGCAAGAGCATTTTTGATGTTTTGAAAAGCTTCTAATGTGTCTGAAGTCCAATTTAATGATGCATTGGGAGATTTAGTTTTTAAAAGTGAATAAAGCGGAGCTAAAATATGACTTGAATTTTTTATGAACCTGTGATAAAAGTTTACAAGACCAATAAATCTTTGGAGTTGACGGGTCGAATTAGGTTGAGGAAAATCTTTAACGATTCTTATTTTCTCAGGAAGAGGTTTTATTCCTTTGTTGTCAATGATGTGTCCAAGAAATTCTAGTGAAGGTTTTCCGAAAACGCTTTTAGATATATTGATTGTTAGTCCATGATCGGAAAGTCTTTTGAAGATTATATCTAGATGTTGAATGTGATCATTTTCATTTTTACTGGCGATCAAAACGTCATCAATGTAAACGAAGACAAAATCTAGACCTTTTGTTACTTCACCCATGAATCTTTGAAATGTTTGGCTTGCGTTTTTTAAACCAAAGTTCATGCGTGTAAATTCAAATAAACCAAATGGCGTAGTTATTGCCGTTTTGGGTATGTCTTCTTGGTTAATTGGAATATGGTGGTACGCCTTCACGAGATCTATTTTGCTGAAAATTGTACAGCCATGAAGGCTTTGGGTGAAATCCTGAATGTGCGGAATGGGGTAACAATCAGGTTGGGTCACAGCATTTAGGCTTCTGTATCACGCCACATGGTCTCCAGTCTATAGAATTTTTCTTAGGGACTAGATGTAAAGGTGATGCCCATGCTCCGTCTCCTCTCTTGCATAAACCTAGTTCCATCATGTGCTCAAATTCTGATTTGGCAATTTTAAATTTTTCTGGATTCAGCCGTCTTGGTTTGGAGAATGTTGGTTGCCCTTTTGTAGTAATATGATGAGTGACTGAATGCTTGACTGGTGTGGAATATGATGGAGGCTTAGTTAGAGAGGGATAATGAGAGAGAATGTTCAAAAATTGTCTTCATAGCTGTTTATTGAGCACTTTGGAGAAAGTGAGTTGAAATTTGTAATTGATACACGCTTGCGTAGCTTCGTTAAAGAATCAATTATAAACTTTCCTTTGATATCTGGAATTATTCCAAAGTGTTCCATAAAATCAGCTCCTAGAATGGCTTTGTTTGTGTCTGCTATTATGAATCTCCATTTGAAATCTCTACGAAGACCTAGATCAAGATTAAGGAATCTTTCGCCATAAGTCTTGATAGGTGAATTGTTTGCTGCTGTGAGAGTAAATTTTGTTGGACCACGCCGTCTATCTTCAGGACGAGGAGGCAGGACACTGATCTCTGCACCTGTGTCAAGGAGAAAACTAATTTTGTTGCGGTAGTCAGTGATAAATAGACGGTGGCTTTTATTATTGCTACAATCAGTAACCACCGGGCTTACTGATTGTTGTTGGAGTTTTCCTGCTGGTTCTTTGCTTTTTTGTTGAAAGTACAAGGTGAGATGCATTTTCTTGCATGGTGCTTGAATCGAAAATGATACCAGCACCAAGAGCCATTTGGATTGTACTTTCTATAACTGTTTGGGGAAGATTTTCGAGATGAAGATGAGCTTCTGGATCTTGAACGAGGTATTCTTTCTTCCTTCTTGTTAAGGTCAATTTTCAATGCTGAAATTTCCGCACGCAAAGATGCCAGTTCCTTTTCTAAAGTCGAAGTACTTGAAGATGGTGAAGAAGTAATCTCCGTCACTCTATCAGCTAAATCTGCTAGAGAGTTTAGTGATGCTTGCTCTTGCGTTGTCAGAATTATTTGGATGTTTTTAGGTAAACGTTGCATCCAGAGCATTTTTAATGTTGTGTCACTGACGGCTTTGCTTTCTCCAATCAATTGTCTTAAGTGGCGTAATAATTGGCTAGGCAGTCTGTCTCCAAGTTCTTCTTGAGTCAACAATTGCTGTAGTTTTTTAAATTCGCTGTCAGCGGTACATTTAATTATGGCCTTCTTTAGCGCGTCGTATTTATTGTCTGGTGGAGGTGATATAATGAATTCACGTACCTCTATGGCAGTTGATGGAGGTAAAAGTGAAATTAGATAAGAAAATTTGGTGTCATCATTTGTAATTGGACTTGGCTTGTTCAATAAAAATTGTGATTCCAATGTTATGAACCACAATTCTGGATCGTTTGGCCAAAATTCGGGTGCTTTAATTGAATCCATTTTGAGAATATATTGTATTTAAAAAATTATATGTCCTTAAGAGATATTAAAATTCTGATTATTATAATTATTAAAATTCAGAATTAAAATTTTATATTTGATTTTTTTATTTGATAAGAAAAAATATTTGAATATATTATCAAGTTATAATTTTTAAATTGTAAGTTATATATTATTTTTAATTGCCAATTTAATGTGTATTTGAATTTATTTAATATATATATATATTTATTTCTTAAAATTATATTTGATATCTGATTTGTTTTTAAGTTGAAAATTTGCCTTGAATTAAATACCAAACGATGTACGTTTTCGTAGTTTTTAAATATTGCGAAATATGTTATAATTTTTGTTTAAATATAAATATTTAATATGTATTTCTTAAATATTTATAATTTGATATTATGAGTATTTTTATTTTTCACTTTTGATCGAATTGAAATTCTTGTTTGATTGCTTGCAAATGTTCGTTAAAGTTTACCGGCTCACCATTTTGTGGGTGGCATGGAATTCTAGGCGGAGTCAGATAACAAATTATTTATTGTAAAATCAACTTTTAATTACATTTATTTATACAAATTATCAGAAGGGTTAAATTGGTGTATACTACATGTTGAAGTTATTTTTGTTTATATGTGTGTGGTCAAATATCAATTCTAGATTATATAATGTTAGACATATGTGCTTGATATATTATAGATAAATATTTACATTTCATATTATTTATGATTTATATTTAGAATGATGTATAATTATTTTATAAGCATTATATATTTATAAGATGAATAATTTTAATATTTGAATTGAATAGTTATTAGACAAATTAAAACTTATAATGAAAATAGGAAAAGTTAATATTTGGGAGCCGCTACAAGTCTATTGGACGTGACTTCCGTCACTGGAAGGGGAGTGATGTAGCGGCTCCCATATATTAACATTAATATCATATTAATTGTTGTCATATCAATATAATAAAACTAGACGAATGGCCCGGGCAACGCCCGGGTTTTACCCGAGTGCCTATATATTTTAAAAACGTTTTAATTCAAATATATTCGTTACAATTATAAATTGGCGCCATGGATGTCACTCTTGTGAAACGTCCCGTTCCAAACTGTGTGTTTTTAAAATGTTTTAATTAAAATACTATTCGTTACAATTATAAATTGGCGCCGTGGATGTCTCTCTTGTGAAACGTCCCGCCCCAAACTGTGTGTGTCTTGAAGATATAAAAATAAAAATGTGAACGGAAAAATATGTCCAGGGTAGCCTAGTGGTCATGGCATCTGCCCGGTAAGCGGAAGGTCGTGGGTTCGATTCCCATCCCTTGACTCTTTTTTTATTTTATCCATTCTGACCAAATTCTATCCGTGAACTTCACAGAGTGAACTTCACACAGACAGAATAAGGCAATTATATTATACGAATGACCCGGGCAACGCCCGGGTTTTACCCGATTAAATGCTTTTATTCAAATACTATTCGTTACAATTATAAATTGGCGCCGTGCATGTCATTCTTGTATAATATATAAATGAGTTTTAAAAATTGTAAAAAAAAAAAAAAAATGCATCGGCCGGGAATCGAACCCGGGCCGCCCGCGTGACAGGCGAGCATTCTACCACTGAACCACCGATGGTTATGAAAAATCCCATCCGTGAGCTTCAAACAGACAAACATACAAACAGACAGAATAAGGCAAATATATAAGTAGATAATTATACATCACTAGACGAATGGCCCGGGCAACGCCCGGGTTTTACCCGAGTGCGCATATATTTTAAAAACGTTTTAATTCAAATATTATTCGTTACAATTATAAATTGGCGCCATGGATGTCACTCTTGTGAAACGTCCCGTTCCAAACTGTGTGTTTTTAAAATGTTTTAATTAAAATACTATTCGTTACAATTATAAATTGGCGCCGTGGATGTCTCTCTTGTGAAACGTCCCGCCCCAAACTGTGTGTGTCTTGAAAATATAAAAATAAAAATGTGAATTTTCATAAATATTTCATCATGTCGATTTTCTCATATTCATCATTTTTCACATCGATAGAGATAATTACTTTTGCAACATGAACTTAGGTTTATTGACTAAATAGAAAACTGCATAGTAATAAAGATCATTTTTTAAAGGCACCATATCGTTTTTTTTTTCAATAAAATCGAAACAAAAATTAACGATAAATAACGACAATTGCCTTAAAAAGAAATTGCCTTAAAAAAAAGAAACATTCGCGGTGATTTTGTCTTGCATTCGTTTATACAATTATTATATACGAATGACCCGGGCAACGCCCGGGTTTTACCCGATTAAATGCTTTTATTCAAATACTATTCGTTACAATTATAAATTGGCGCCGTGGATGTCATTCTTGTATAATATATAAATGAGTTTTAAAAATTGTAAAAAAAAATGCATCGGCCGGGAATCGAACCCGGGCCGCCCGCGTGGCAGGCGAGCATTCTACCACTGAACCACCGATGGTTATGAAAAATCCCATCCGTGAGCTTCAAACAGACAAACAGACAGAATAAGGCAAATATATAAGTAGATAAGTAGATTTTAAATATAAAACATAAATCATATAAAATGTAAATATTTATCTATAATATATCAAACACATATATCTAACATTATATAATCTAGAAATGATTTTTGACCACACACATATATACAAAAAATAAACTTTAACGTGTAATATACACCAATTTAACCCTTCTGATAATTTGTATAAATAAATGTAATTAAAAGTTGATTTTACAATAAATAATTTGTTAATGACTCCGCTTATAAATCTATGCCGCCCACATAAATTGGTGAGCCGCGTATTTAAAATATAAACTTTAACGAACATTTGCAAGCAATCAAACAAGAATTTCAATTTGATCAAAAGTGAAAAATAAAATTACTCATAATATCAAATTATAAATATTTAAGAAATACATATTAAATATTTATATTTAAAACAAAAAATATAACATATTTCGCAATATTTAAAAACAACGAAAACGTACATCGTTTGGTATTTAATTCAAGGCAAATTTTCAACTTAAAACAAAATCGCTATCAAACGTAATTTTAAGAAATTATTTATGTGGATTGTCGTTATTAACCACCACATATGTATAGGTATTCATAGCTTCAGCCCAAAATTTTATTGGTAATCCAGATTCTATTAATAGGGCTCTTGTTCCTTCTATTAGGCTTCTGTTAGCTCTTTCACATCTTCCATTTTGAGCAGGGGAAAAAAAGGTAGTTCTTTGATGTTCTATTCCTTTCCTTTTCAGATAGGATTCCAATTCTTGGTTGTTGAATTCAGTACCATTATCACTCCTGAATTTTTTAATCCTTTTATTGGTGGTGTTCTCTATATATTCTATAAATTCTTTAAGTATTTCTTGAGTTTCTGATTTTGCTTTTAAGAATCTAGTGAATAATTTCCTTGAATAGTCATCTACTATAGTAAGAATAAATCTTGCTTTACCAATAGATTCTTCTTTTATGGGCCCAATTAAATCAATATGCAAAAGTTCTAATGATTGTTAGGTTTGAATTTTTTCAATTCTTTTAAAAGGTTTTCTTGAGTATTTAGATTTAATACATGTAATGCAATCATTTAAGTTTTCTTTAGATATGCAATCAAATTTGTATACTAAGTTTTTGTTTTTCATTAAAGTAATGTAATTTTCATTAGGGTGGCCCAATCTTTTATGCCAAATATCCCAATTAACTTTGGAGACTTTATCTTCTTCATCCCTTGAACCAGAGGAGTTTATTATGTAAAAATCATCAATTTTTGGAGCTTCCAATATGACTTGATCCTTGAAATCTATTATAGTACATTTGTCTTTGCTAAAAATTATTCTTTGGTAGTCTTGTACTAATTTTCCTACAGACAACAAATTTCCTTTGATTTGTGGAACAAATAGTACATCTTTGAGGATAAGTAAATTTTCTTCTTTTGTTTTGATTTTCACATTTCCTATAGCTTTGGATTCAATTTGAGTGTCATCAACAAGGATTATTTTCTTTTCCTTATTTTCTGAATCTTTTAAAAGTTCAAAACAGGATGTCATATGGCTTGTAGCACCACTATCAATTATCCATTCCTGTTCACTCTTTTCTTGATTTTTGGCTATCAGACAATTTGCTGCCTTTTCATTATGTGAATTTCCAGTTTGTTTCTGCTGATTTCCAAATTTAGGTTTATAGCCACTTGTGCTGGGTTTGTTAAGATCTTCTCTTCTATTATTATTGCCTTTATTTTTTGGATTATGCCAGCAGTCATTAGCTTTGTGTCCTCTTTTGTTACAGATATAACACTCAGGTTTATATTTAAATTTATTTTTTGGATACAATTTCTTTGATTCACTTTGTGATGCTTTATATGCAGATGAGGATGAAAAATCTTTCTCATGGTACCTTTCTTGATACAGGGAAAACTGTGATTTAATATCTGGAAGTGTAGGATTATTCATAGTATTTATTTGCATGGCAATAATATTGTATTTTTGTGGCAGGCCTTTAATTACCGAATAGATAAATTCTTCATCATCTATGGTGGCTCCCATAATTCTGGCATTTTCTAATAATTTTTCTGATCTATGAAGGTAGTCTTTCCAACTTTCTTCAGGATACATCCGAAGACGAGAAACATTATTCCGTGCCTCAATACTTTTCTTTTTAATGTCTCCTTCATATCTTTTGGTTAAGGATGCCCATATTTGTTTTGATGTTTTGCATGTGAGAATTAATGAAACCTGAGAATCTGTCATGGCACAAGTTATAATACCTTTTGCTTGTGAGTCTTTTATTTTCCATTTTTGTCTTTCTGTTTCTTCTCCTGGAGGATCTTCAATCAAAAAATTGATCAAATCTTTGCTTTCTAAAATCGATTCAACCCTATATTTCCAACTTGGAAAATTATCACCATCAAATTTTGCAATTGGTATTTCGTTCATTTTATTTTCCAATATTGTTTTTTCCTTTTAATATTCAATATAAACATTGAATATTAAAAGGAAAAAACAATATTTTGTTGAAGATTTTCTCTAGAAAACAAAATTTATTTTGCTTTACGCATAAATACCGATTAGGCTTAAGTCGTCTGCTATTATTTCCTTTTATTAGAATATTCAATAAACCACGCTCTGCTACCAATTGTGTTAATTTGGGTTGAATTAAAAAGATAAACCCTTTTTATATCATTATTTTATTTAAGATCCAATTTAAAAACAGGAAAAGAACAAAAATATATTATAAAAACTTCTTCTAACTTTTAACTTGTAAACAAGAAGTTTATAATATATTTTTGTTCTTTTCCTGTTTTTAAATTGGATCTTAAATAAAATAATGATATAAAAAGGGTTTATCTTTTTAATTCAACCCAAATTAACACATTTACCCGACTGTAGATGTTACAACGGTGATCCTTAGGTCGCTGGTTCAAATCCGGCTCGAGGGAGCCGGCGAGCACGTGACCTCCCTGTGCGCGCGCATCCGTGACAGAGGCCGATGAGGAAAAACGGTCGTGACTATATATATACTAGACGAATGACCCGGGCAACGCCCGTGTTTTACCCGATTGAATGTTTTTATTCCAATACTATTTGTTACAATTATAAATTGGCGCCGTGGATGTCACACTTGTGAAACGTCCCGCTGCAAACTTTGTGTCTGAGAAGCGATATTTTTATAGAAAGATGATCTGGCTTTTGTTTTCTGCTCGAATGAATGTTTTTCTGTTTGAATTTTGTTCCTGCGTACAAAATAATGAACTGGTTTCACCCGTGGTCTCTGCTTTTTGGAATTTTTCCCGATATAATTTTGTATCTGATAATCAAACATGATACAGCAATATCGTCATCATCATTTTCTGACTAAAAATATATAGTTTTAATAATTGATTTATATATATTTTTAAATAGCCTATCGTCTTCCCCGTATTTTTTACCTATGTATGGAAATTTTGGTTTGAATTAGTGAACTACTGCGAATTTGTATACCGGACATACAAACAAACATACAAACAGACAAACATTCATTTTTATATATATAGAGATTTACTCTTCATTGTTGGCTTTTTATATTATATTTACTCTGCATTGTTGGCTTTTTATCTTACATTCACTCTGTTGGCTTTTTATATTACATTTACTCTTCATTGTTGGCTTTTTATCTTACATTCACTCTTCATTGTTGGCTTTTTATATTATATTTACTCTTCATTGTTGGCTTTTTATCTTACATTCATTCTTCAAGGTTGGCTTTTTATATTACATTCACTCTTCATTGTTTGGTTTTTATCTTACATTCACTCTGTTGGCT